GGTTGTGAGGAAAGTATCGTCTGTGCTATGCCTGTCTTTAAGCAAGTTACCTTGGCTGCTGGCTCCCTGTACAGTGGCAACAATACCCAGTGTTCCCAGGGTGGATGAAGAATGACAGTTGTATATATGATTCATCAGTCTCATTGGAGCTCAACATTATAATCATTTTTTATGATCATCCATACTGTCCATCTTAGTTCCATCACAAGAAAGATTTGTTTTTCATTTGGTTGCTTATGAATATTTTCTTACCATCAAAATTAATCAAGAAATACGTCTGACAACTCGTAATCATGCTTTTTAAATTGAGTATGAATTAAGATTTAACAAAGAATGTGATTCGTAAAAAATAACAGTCTAATACGAATCAGATGTTTAGTTTTCGAATCATGTGAGGTTGCCTCAGGTTAACCCTCAATAGACTTGGACTCTTCATTCCAAATGAAGAATATGGGCGTCTGTAACACTTTGATCTGTAAGCTTCATGAATCAAGATGGTTTTATTTCTTAACCACCTTGTTTTCATTTGTAACAAAATAACAGTCTCAGAAAGATACCATTTGCATCAGAAACAATAGGATATATAATATGTGGCTTTCAGAACACCCAGAATATATTTGTTTTCAAAAGAAAGAATTCAGATAAATAGCCATTTAATGGTTTTGGTTGATAATTTAGAACCATCAGTTCTCATTGACTGATAGAATGTTTATGTGCATGGAAGAATCCTTAGTTATAAAAGACAAGTTAATTGATGGAAGGTTAGTTATAGATGCAGCATAGAGGTTACGTATTTCTTGAGGACATGTTTGATCATTTGATTGTCAAGCATCTTCGGGAGCTTTAAGGTGATAAAAATGACAAATATCAGTCAATGTGGTGTTGGTCTGTGTTGGTGCAAGTTGCCCCACAGAGTTCTGTCCCTTCCAGGATCTGGTCATCTGTCTTTGTAAAATACTGTCTTTATGTATCTTTGGTTTTGAGGGCATGTGCTCATTTCAGTCAGTCAGGCCAGGCTAATTGTTGGGTAACTGTGTCTTGATATGTTTCCTCCATGAAGTATACAGGGGTTGGTGGGTAGCCAAGTGGTTGTCATGCTGAAGACTTAGGAACGTTTCTCACATGGGTACTCACTCTCACATGGGTACAATGTGTGAAGCCTATTTCTGGTGTCCTCCTTGATATTGTTGGAATATTGCTAAAAGCGGAGTAAAACTAAACTAACTCACTCACTGTATGATGAATATCTGGTTTGGTTTAAAATTACACAATTTATGGGGATAATCCATAACGAACTCACATGGTGGTTGATGAAACAACCATACGTATTTGAAACAACCACTTCACCTCAACCTACAGATCCCACTAGTCTGACACTGATTGGTAATCATTCACCCTTTTCAGATAAATATATCAAATAAACATGTATTAGGTCTCATAATGCAAGCATTAGATGTAATCTACATAAGTGTATTTTGATATTGTCAATCCGTGTGAAGCCATTTCTGGTGTCCCACACCGTGATATTGCTGGAATATTGCTACAAGCAGCGAAAAAAACCTAAACTCAGTCACTCACTCAGATGATATTGTCAATCCAATTCACTTTCAAGATACTAATATTGAGGAATGTTGTGGTTCGTGACAACCAGTACCCATTGTGAAGGTTCTGCATGTTTGAAATTGATACATATGTGTTTATATAAAATGCTCTCCCAGTGATGTTACCTTTATGTCATGTTGTCAAATACTGATGATTTGTTTTTAATAAAAGAATTCATTGATTAAAGCGTGTCATGTTTGTATCTCTAGGGATGTGTTCCTCACAAATACATTTAGTGCATACACAATATACTGTAAAGATCCCGGATAGGATTGAGACTGCCTCCGTGGTGTAGTGGTTAGAGCCTCTGCCCGGAGAGCGCAAGGTCGCGGGTTCGATCCCCGGTCGCGTCATACCAAAAGACGTTAAAATATGGTACTTGTTGGTCTCTGTCTGGTGCTCGGCATTTATGGGTACAACAAGGACTGGTCGGCTTGGAGTCAGTATAATGTATCTGAGGGGGGTATTCATGCTTCACTGCGGCATGGTATCTCAGTGAGCTGGCACTATAAAACAAGCTTAAGTCTGGGCTAGTACAAGCAGCCGCACATACACACGCATGCACGTCGTCATGTGAGCAAAATATTCTCAAGTACGAGGTAACACCCAATTTCACCTCACCTCACCTCACCCCGGATAGGATTGATCTTCAGCTACCCATGTTTGTCACAAGAGGTGAATGATCATGTGGCCAGGTTCACTGACTTGGTTGATGCATGTCATCGTGTCCCAGTTCCATACATTGATGCTCATGATTTCTATCACTGGATTGTCTTGTCCAGTCTCGATTATTTACAATCTACCGTGATTTATCTGGAATATAATATTTTTTTCTTAAACCCTTTGAGTTGTTTATGTACAGAATAACAATTGCGATGTCTGTGATTTGGTCCTTCATGGGAGTACCCATGAAGATCCGGGTTAAAAGTGGTCTTCAGTAACCCATGCCTGTCGTAAGGGGCGACTAACAGGAACAGGACGCCGTTCCTCAAAGCAATCGTAACCCTAAGACGATCGTAACTCCCACACTTTAACATACTGTAGACTTACGACAGTCGTAGCGCTAAGGTGATTGTAACTCCCATACTTGAACATAGACTTACGACAGTCGTAGCGCTAAGGTGATCGTAACTCCCATACTTGAACATAGACTTACGACAGTCGTAGCGCTAAGGTGATCGTATCTCCAATACTTGAACATAGACTCACGACAGTCGTAGCGCTAAGGTGATCGTAACTCCCATACTTTAACATACTGTAGACTTACGACAGTCGTAGCGCTACGAAAGGGGGCTCTGGAGGTGAGGCTCGCTGACTTTGTTGACACATATCTTATCCCAATTGTGTAGATCGATGCTCATGATATTGATTGTCTGGTCCAGACTCATTTAATTCCAGAAGACCGCCGCCATGTTGCTGAAATGTTGCTGAGTGTGGCGTTAAACAACAAACAAACAACCTTCAGGGGAACTGTTCTCCCTACATGTCATGAACAAAATCAATTCATATTTTTTTGTAAAAGGTTGCTCACTCCCCTCTAGTACATATGTACAGAATTAATTAACCATCCCCCACCCCCCACACACACCTCCCGAGAAGTTCTTCTGGGCGAGAACAAAATGGCTGACCTTTCCATAAAATCCCCCCTCCACACACACGCACGCACGCACGCACACACACACACACACACACACACACCATAGGCCATAAATTACGGTCTCCAATGCTCTTTCACCAGAATGAAACTGGAACATTTCCGAATCAAAACATAATATTTTTGTAGACGATGTAAATGTCCTCCGTGTTGACCCTCACTAGTTTTATGACAAACTACTTATCGAGGGTATATCTATATTGAGCTCCATTCAGTCCCATGGCATGTTTAGGATATATACCTACTGTTTTGGATAACATGGCCGATTCCATATGAGAAATCAACAGGTATCGAATCTATGGAAATATCAGTTGAACACGGCGGTGTCGACATGTGTTAATATGTGAACAGTTTTGGAATTATAACTCCAATTTGAACGACGGTTGTTAAACCAACATTTTTTATTCGGGTGTCCAAAATTATGATACAAATCACCAGAGTTAGTCTCTCGATTTCATGTGACTGTGCAAAATTTGGTTTTGTGCAATTATTAGATTTTGTGTTATTGAGCAATTCATAGGTCTATAATGAAATCAAACGGACTATACTATCGTAATCATGCATGTATTTTGAATGTATGTTTTTTTTTGTCGTGACAACTTCACTGGTTTCACAGACACACTGACCGCTATCGTTGTCGGGAATAAACGGACGTGAGAAGGATTTTCAAAATGCACGAAAAGGGAATAGATGGTTTTGACAGACCACGGACAGAAAACAGACCAATCGGAAAACTGTTGCCTGAAAGCAAGAACAAGAATACTCATGTTGAAAACTATTTATCACTAAAAACATGACAAATACACGAATAATTGCACAATGCAAATCTATGTACAAATGAGGAGGTACGAAATATGCAGAAAAGACAATTGATTATGATAATATGGATAGTGTTATAATGCGATGAACCAGTTCTGTCTCTGGGTACCATGATGGGATAAGTATGCAGATGCGATACCCTGGCAGGGACTACTTGGTGTAAATCTTATTGTCTACTGTGTTACTGTATCTAAGATATTGAGTGGATATAATATATTCCTGAACACTGGTTACGGGGTGAGAATATTTATTCTATGTGTAATAATAACCACACGAAATGGCAATAGGACGTAGACATAAAGCGTCGCCAAGCCAATCAAGCGTAAATTTGCCAGACATGAGAAGATGTTGAATTCCAACACAAGAGTGAGTGAGTGAGTTTAATTTTGCGCCGCTCTCAGCGATATTCCAGCTATATGGCGGCGGTCTGGAAATAATCGAGTCAATCGAGACAAGACAATCCAGTGATCAACAGCATGAGCATGGATTTACACAATTGGGACACGATGACATGTGTCAACCAAGCCAGGAAGGCTGACCTACCGATCCCGTTAGTCGCCTCTTACAGCAACACAAGACAAACGTATTGCTTGTGCAAAGAGTGCGTGTGAAGTGCTGCCTTTAATTAGGAGAAAAGGCCGATGCTCCAACCATATCAGGTTAAAGGAGGGCACATAATAATGTGGTGACCCTATCTATCCACCCTTAAGTTTTGATAGAGAAAGCATTCATTAGTACACATGAAAAATAGTATTTCTGCAGCTCTGATAGTAACTGTTAACATACAAATATCCATCAAAGGGCATGTTAGGCATGAATATTGTTAAAGGACTTAAAACTATTATGTACATGACTGTCAAAATACATCATAATGCATCTGCCATATTATGTCGGTGCATAACAATTGCCAAAATCTATTGTGTATTTATCAACATCTCATGCTGAAGGTATGACTGAATGAAACGAAATGGTTTTACCAGTACACGAAAACAAATCTAAATTTAAGCAATCATACTATAACCTAAACTATAAAAAATGAATAGAAATCTTCGTAAAGGAAACCAACATGTATTCCCATTAAGTCGTATGTACACCATGCATTACTTGTTTAAGTGGCATTTACAAGCTGGTATGATGAATAGGAACATTTGTTATGGATAAACAACTTCTTTGTTGCAATAGATCGACGTTATCATCACATGCTTGATAACGGTGTTCTACATCGAAACATCGCATCTATTGCAATAAAGAAGTTGTCTATCCATTAAACGTGTCCCTCTACACCACGTATTGTCATGTTTAGTGTATTAAAGTGCTCAACACCACTAATCTCTACCGTGACAAACATCCATGATTTCAAGGTCATAATGGCTAATATCGCAATGTGACCTGAACGTCAAATGGCTTCGGGTTTCGAACGAACCCAACACCAACCCCATAGTCGTATTCCGCAACTTCTGGAGGTCTGCTGAAGGAGCACTTCTGCAACAGACCAGTAAAGAACAGGAATATTTCCATCCTGCCCAAGAACTCTCCAAGGCACTTCCGCCTTCCAGTAGCAAACGGCAGGAACTCCTCCAGCAGAGCTTTGTTGATCTGCCCGGAAGAGTCCAGGAAACGTTCAGGACGGAACACTTCCGGGTCGCCCCACACGTCAGGGTCGTGGCTCATGGAGTAGAGGTTGATGAAGACGACGGTGTCCTTTTTTACGCTGTATCCTTGAAACGTGATGTCAGTTGTAGTATAATGCGGTAGTGATAGAGGAGCTAGTGCAGTGATGCGCATGATTTCGTGTATGCAGGCTTCGGTGTACACCATCTTTCCGCGGTCTTCTAACGTTGGTCTCCGAGACGGCCCCACAACGTCGTCAATCTCCTGCTGTACCTTAGCCTGAACCTGTGGATTGTCAGCCATGTACATGGTCGCCCACTCCATGGTGGTAGCCACCGTTCCAAACCCTGCACCAAACAAATCGTCAATTGTTGAAAAGATCCGAGCACTACCCAACACCTGCACGTCCTCGCTGTTGCTGTCAACGATGTCTACAAACCCATCAGTAGCGTCACGGAGGTGATTACGATCAAAGGTAGTCACATGTTCCTCCACTTTTTTCTTACGCGACTCAATGAATTTCTTGATTAACCGGCGAAAATTAGTCAATGTCCATGGGATCACAAATCGGAGCCAGGGAAATATGTCAATTGGATTTCCTGTCGATACTGTCTCAGTGAACTCTTTAGATTGCAGGATGAAGTCTGTGAAGTCCGTCCTTTCTCTGATGTCTTCCTGGCGACCATAGCAGATCTGGTATATGATACTTCCCGCAGCAAGAAACACGTCATCGTGCGGACAGAAACTTGTTCCTCTTTTGGAAGCAAATGAGTCAACAACTGTATCTATCTCTCGGTGAATAGCCTCTTCCATTGGATTGGATTTGGCATTTGCGAAAGTTGCAAGGACTTTATTGGCCATTTTTCTGTGTCGTAAATAGTCCTGACTGAACTGACTAAAGCTTACACCTTGACCATCATAAAGGACAGACGATGACGTTGTGTAGAACTGCGGTCGTCCAGAGAATGCGTCACCTTGTTCCACTAAGGCCTCCTTAATTGCTTTCTTGCCATTGATTACGAGAGCTGGCCAGGTGCCTAGTTGAATGCGGAAAACATCCCCGAATTTCATTCGTAGCTTTTGGAAGGTGACGTGAGGCTCAGTTCCCAGGAGAGGCAGATGGCCGAGGACTGGGTATCCCCACGGTCCAGGGGCTGCGTTGTTATTACTTTGAAAGTATCTGAATAACTTGATAGTTGCGAAGGACGCAATAAACGTGGCCACTGCAACCTGGATCTCCATTGAGGAAACTAATGCTGCCATGCCTCCTGCTGACGAGTGTTGCCCTACCATGGTTCTGAAGTAAGATGAAACTTCGTCTGAATCTGAAGAAATATATGCATGTTTTAGACAAAACCCATCTGAAGTAAAGATTATGTATAAGTTATGTATAATATGTTTGTATAACTTGCAGGTTTCTTTGATTGGCATTCTAGAAGTTGAGGCGATGAAGAATGAGGACAATTTTATGGTTATACAACTTCTTTATTCTGTATAGGCGACGTTTGGACATCGATTCTAATGTGCTTGTCAACGACATTAGAATCTATGTCGAAATGACCCCTATACAGAATAAAGAAGTTGTATATTCATACAATTGTCCTCATTATTAATCTGCAGGTGTTCATGAGTATTTAAGGCATTGGAAATCGTTGTCAAGGCGATCCTTGCAATGTTCGCCTTCGAGGTTACAAAACTTATATAACTATATTATGTAAACAGGGCATGCACCGACATGATGGGGCGCCGTGTCATGAGTATATATCGGTGTTAGATAACTTCTGTACAGCTAAACGACTCTTATTCACACCAACATGCACGCAATATGTGAAACATTTATATGGCTATCCTTGCATAACGTCCAGTTCATGAACTAGTTCTACATGTCTATAGCGAACATATACTCACCCGCTTCGTGTTTACAAGCCTAAGTCGTCTGCTTGAAAGTGTGTCACTGCTCACACAGACCCGTCCGCTCTGCAACCACGTGACTTAAACACGTGACCCACATCGCGGACAACCGGCTCACCAGTAATTTGGGGTCGAAGGTCTCTCGCCTTTTTTCGTTCATGGGCTCTGCGAACGAAGCAATGTACACTCTTTGAGTCAGTCTATATTATTTGTGTTTCACTTTCCCCTTCCCCGTCCTCCACTATCCCCCTGCTGAAAAACACGTTATCTATGTTCAAACAATCGCCCGCTTGAACCTATATCCTTCAATGGTGGTAAAACACATGCCCTGTCTGTACAATACAGTCTTCGCTCATGTCGCTTGTGGGCTTGCTCATGCAGACGACGGCTGGGGGTCATGTCAAAGTGCCCCTTTGTGTGGTCCCAGCATTCCCCTATGCTACACTGGTTTCGACGGCCTGTCATGTTAGGCATGAATTTAAAGGCCTTGTTCTTCCCTGAGTACCTCTCACCCTAAAGCCCTAAATGTTTTAATGGGTCTCGAGGTGGTGTGGTGGGGGCTTAGTTTGTGTCAAAATTATATGTGTGAGACTGCGTGTGTGTGTCGTGTGTGTGTGTGTGGTGCGTGTGTGGTGGGGTGTGTGTGTGTGTGTGTGTGCGTGTGTGTGTGTGTGTGCTGAGAGTGAATAAGTTTCATAACATCATCGTAAGTGGAGTATTTACACCGCGCTCGACGCCTCCCATTCTTGGTGTATGTCACGTACGGTTGTTTAGTCAGCTTTGCCCCCCAAAAATGAAATGCACAATGCCATTTTAGAAAGTGGTTAAATGTAACATATGTTATATTTGGGCTTAAACTTTCTTTAGTAAAGTACAGATTCTAGTACTTTTTGGGTTGAGTCCCATCCGGGATTCGAACCCACACCCTCAGAGTTAGGCACCTAAACGCCAGCACACAAGTCAGCCGCCTAGACTGCTCAGCCACCGCGGTTTCCACAAACATGGAAGTCGGACAACTGGTAGTCTAGACTGCGGGCTTTGTGTGCCCCTCTGATAAGTGTTAATTGGCCCGGCTCCCACGGCCGACAGCTATGAAATACACAATGCCCCTAAAGTAGCTGTTCGGTACCCTCAGTGGTAAGAGTTCCGTCCGTAACCCCCGCCCGCAATGTATTCTATTTATTATGATTATTTCTAGGGTTTAGGTTTAGGGTTTAGATTTATCACTTTGTTAGGTTTAGGGTTAGGGTAGGCTTTCTATAAAAACAATAACATCTATTCTTAGGCATATAATGATAAAAAACGGGGGTATTTTGGCGGAAATCTTTCCAATACGTTAAATTCACATAACATATGAAATATAAATGGGGGTTCATTGACAAGAATCGCATTACTACTTATCAAACTGAACACAGGTCCTGTGTCATACAGCTGTATAGCTATAGTGTGTTTGCAGTTAAAACGTACCGAGAATACCCCCCCTTGTAATAGAAACCAATAATAGCGATTTCAAACTATGATCGTTTGTTAAACAACTTTTATCTTAAGTTGAATAAAATTCTAAGATTTAAATGTTCAACTGTCAAGGTAAAATTATGAAGATTCGCAATCTTCATTTGACATTATTTTATTTACTTTTTTGTTTAAAGTGAAATTCATTGGTACGTTTTCGCTGCAAACAGACAATATATAGTCCCGTATATCTAGTTCACTATGAACATACTTGTGACGTACAAGGGTTATGCGTATGGGGTGTGTGGATTGAGAAAGGTTAATACATACAAGTTTGTGATATATAGTGTATAACTTTGTAGATATGGCATATAAAGTAGCTTCAAAGTTGATATGAATAATGTGTATAGACCTATAGTGTCAGTATACAAGGTTTATAGTCTCAAAGTTGGTATGTATAAAGTGTATAGACCTATAGTGTCAGTATACAAGGTTTATAGTCTCAAAGTTGGTATGTATAAGGTATATAGACCTATAGTGTCAGTATACAAGGTTTATAGTCTCAAAGTTGGTATGTATAAGGTATATAGACCTATAGTGTCAGTATACAAGGTTTATAGTCTCAAAGTTGGTATGTATAAGGTGTATAGACCTATAGTGTCAGTATACAAGGTTTATAGTCTCAAAGTTGGTATGTATAAGGTGTATAGACCTATAGTGTCAGTATACAAGGTTTATAGTCTCAAAGTTGGTATGTATAAGGTATATAGACCTATAGTGTCAGTATACAAGGTTTATAGTCTCAAAGTTGGTATGTATAAGGTGTATAGACCTATAGTGTCAGTATACAAGGTTTATAGTCTCAAAGTTGGTATGTATAAGGTGTATAGACCTATAGTGTCAGTATACAAGGTTTATAGTCTCAAAGTTGGTATGTATAAGGTATATAGACCTATAGTGTCAGTATACAAGGTTTATAGTCTCAAAGTTGGTATGTATAAGGTGTATAGACCTATAGTGTCAGTATACAAGGTTTATAGTCTCAAAGTTGGTATGTATAAGGTGTATAGACCTATAGTGTCAGTATACAAGGTTTATAGTCTCAAAGTTGGTATGTATAAGGTGTATAGACCTATAGTGTCAGTATACAAGGTTTATAGTCTCAAAGTTGATATGAATAATGTGTATAGACCTATAGTGTCAGTATACAAGGTTTATAGTCTCAAAGTTGGTATGTATATAGTGTATAAACCAGGGCTTCCTTTAAGAAAGCACTAAGGTGATCGTAAGTCAATAAGGTAACCTTAGTGCAGTGTTAAAGAATGTGAGTTCAGGTTAACCTTAGTTAAGGTTGCTTCGTGAAAGGAGGTCCTGGAGTTTCAGTATATAAGGTATGTAGCTGTAGGTTTGTGGTACAGTTTTACAGATGTAAGGTTAAGAAAGATAAGATGTTCACAGCTGTCACGTTGTGATAAATAAGATACATAACTCTATGATTGATTACATATAAGGAATTATAGTTATAGGTTTGCGGTACATAATGTGTATAACTGTAGAATTGCTGTATTCAAGGTGTGTAGCTGTAAGGTTGTGGTATACAAGGTGTGTGTATATGTAGGGTTGGAATATACAAGTTATGTTGATTTTGTGAAGGAATTAATACGGGATGTGGTGCATAAGGTCAGCAGCGGTAGGTTTCTGGTATAAAAAGGGTCCGTAAGACGTTTAGTCTGTCAGTAGGTGTATGTTTTATGTCACTGTGACTGGGTTTGGTAAACACAGAGGCAGATAAATCAAGCAAAAGGCATCACCTGCAGAACTGGTTATCGACAACGTCAATATACCAGAAAGCACTGCATCATGAGGTCTCTGGGAAACGTTGACTGTTTTGAAGGTAAAACGTAAAAGAAATATCGGCGCTACAGTTTGTTTGATGCAGTGATGGAAACTATTTGGCCACCCACGTATTTAGTCCATTATCATCCCAAAGCCAGATAATAGCGATTTCCTTTTAAACCAACAAATTAAGGTTCGTAGAAACTTTAAGACCAGTTCCAATAATCTCGCCGTTGCCAGGTACAAGAGCTTCAAATAGCATGTCAATATAGTAAGCATGTCAATACTGTAAAGTGACCCAGACAATGTGAAGCCTTGAGCGTCTGATAGGCGATACTTCTGGCACCGACAATAGGTGCACTGGCAGGACGTGAGAGGAAAGTCAACAGACGCACGGATAGAGATAATGAACAAAAGCAAGAACTGTTTTGATATGTACAATGTCGACCTTGGCGCGGAAACACAAGAAATGTTTAATTAGAGACCACCGCAATATTCTTGAACATATAAGTAAACTGGCGCTTTGAATTGGAAATTAGTTCCCAAAACTTGTGATAGATAATCATGTAAAAGCCAGTGAGACATATATAAATATCCGTCTGCACACATTTCCTTGAGATCGCCAAGGACGTCTGTCAATCATGTTGTCCTCGATTAGGGCAGCGTTTTTATTTTAAGTGTTTCACGTAGCCACCGTGATCTAAACTTAGGTCGTTTCGGTTGGTTTGAAAAAGAAAAATAAGATTTGAAAGGAGACAAAAACATGTATAACTGTGACTTTGCTTTATTGTTCCTGTTTATGAGTGGGTATGGGACGAATTCCTGTTTATGAGTGGGTATGGGACGAATTCCTGTTTATGGGTGGGTATGGGACGAATTCCTGTTTATGAGTGTGTATGGGACGAATTCCTGTTTATGAGTGGGTATGGGACGAATTCCTGTTTATGAGTGGGTATGGGACGAATTCCTGTTTATGAGTGTGTATGGGACGAATTCCTGTTTATGAGTGGGTATGGGACGAATTCCTGTTTATGAGTGGGTATGGGACGAATTCCTGTTTATGAGTGGGTATGGGACGAATTCCCCCGTTTTATGATATACGAATTCTGTTTATTTGTATCATTCCTGTTAATACGAATTCGTTTATGAGTGGGTAAATAACCTGTTTAAAATATATAAGAAGCAATAAATCATTTTATCATGTTAATATTCGGGAAATAACCTTTTTAAAATATAAACAGCAAAATCATTTGTCATATTTGCAGACTGTGAATCAATAACACAGATTGCACTGCACGTAGAAGCAGCAGAGAAAACCAAAGACCAATAGCAGAGAACATCAGAATAGACTGAATCAGATCTCACAAAGTTAGACACCTCGGTCATTAAAACGTTTCTTTGATCTTTGATATATGATAAGGTATTAATAAATATGATGTTTAGAAAGAAGAATGTTAATACCAAGCACTGAGCTTTCTTGTGAATATTTACAGTTGTCCGCTACATACAGCCTTCATGCCAGCACTGATATTAAGGTAGCGATTGAACCAGCAGTACGTTCTGAGTTTGAGTCGGCGGAAATAAAAACAGTTGTTTTTAATTTGCGGGTCGGCAGACATATTACAGTCGGTCGTGCGATGAGAAACACAAAATACAAGATATTCCCCTTATCCGTATAGTACGGAATAGCTCTCGCGCATGAGCTTAAATTAAAAAACCCCACCCAGATTACAACACCCGATATTTTCAATGGAATAAGAAGCCTGTTTATGAAGAACGTGGCTTCAATATTTGCTCAT